GGGAAGGGAAGGGAAGGGAAGGGAAGGGAAGGGAAGGGAAGGGAAGGGGAAAGAGGAGAGGAATTCAGCAAATATTGATCAGCAAGATCTCTGAGATAACCTGTCATATGTAGTTCATGTACAACATTCACACCTTCCACTTTCCATGACTTTCCCAGCCAACCATCCAAAGCCAGGAAAAGCAAAGGCGGAAGTAACAATATTAGTATTTCCAAAGTCCCATCAAAATGTGTGTGCATGCCAATATGTTCTGTGAGACACAGAAATTGTGACTTTGGGAAGAAGAGATAAGATCCTTGAACTTAGGGAGACTCACTGGGTTAGGTAAAGCCGCCAGGCTCCAAGTCAAGGTTTGGCTAGAGGAAAGCCATCTTATTACAAATAAGGATGTTTAGTATGATCATGCTCTTGCTCTGTCAGAGAGCACAGTGGATCTCTGTCAATTACATACTACATAAATGCAGAAATAACATGCTGCCATTACCAATCGGTGAGAGAAAAAACAGGGGAGAAAGAGGGGCAACTTATATAATGTACCCTGTGAAACATCTTTCATCAACCCAGACCCAAAATAAAGATATGTAATGCAGCATCCTAGACAATGGATTTCATTGCAGAGACGCAGAATATGTTATCTCACATATTGCCAACTCTATTCCACCTCCTTACCCAGTCTTCAAGATACGCACCAGTTCACTTTACCCAGCATCTCTCACTGCTTTGTAATGGCAGTTCTGTTCTATGCACTCCATTGTTCTTATTGCTAGGCAGGATTTTTTTTTCCTGGAATTCACACCAAGCCAAGTCAATAAACAAGGAGACCAAATCATAGCATTTGTCACAGGCCAACAGAGTGCTATGCTAAGCATATGTCCCCATGATGTTTAACATGGGATTCTGTTTTTGTACTTCTCTGAAAGTCTTTCTCAATCTGTTGCCTTCCAGATGTAGCATCCCAAGTCAACATGCTGATAGAAATAATGGGACCTGGAGTCCCAAATACATTTAGAGGAGAACAGATTGGAAACGCATAGAGTGGTCCACAATGTTACTGTCATAAGCATATAATTTCTCTTGAGTAAGAGGCACATGTCTAATCATACTACCAGAGTCTGGCTATAGTACAGAACACTAGTTAGCTTGTGTTTGTTAATGTTAATGTGTATACTCCATGCACCGTTGTTGGGAGCACAGTTATGATTGTATATAAAGCACAAGCTACATTTTAATTTAAAACTAAACATTTGCTTTCATCCAAAGGTACAGACAGCCTCTGACAATTGTATTTCTGAAACTACCTTTCAGGGAACATCTAAAGAAGATATAAAATCAGATTTTCATTGCCACTTGGATCATGACCTTAGAAAACAGATTTGCAAATAATTTATTGGTTTTAAGGCCAGTGAGGTAGCATCAGAGTTTCTAAAGAAAGAAATCATTGCCAGTATTTAATTTAGCAAACAAAATATAAGCCATTTCATATCAAGCATTTTTTTGAATCGGCTTACTGTCAGCAACTCTGGTCTACACTATTCCACTGTTGTGTTTTCCAACAAAGTAACAGGTAAAGGATACTGTAAATGTCCACAGGTGAAATAGCCAGCATCTGCCAAGATGTTCTGTTTTCAGGATGAATGCTAAACAAAATCTGGGGATACATTCAATAATTGTATTTCAGTTAACAACTTATTAAATAAGCTCTCCCTAAAATTGCTTGCATCTGTAAAACAGCTACAAAGGCCAAATACTTTCTAATCGTGATTCCGGAAAAATATGTTCTTAATACTTAACTTCATAACCCAAAATTTCCAAACTATGGAAATGTTGTAAATGGTGCTATGTCAGCATTACATCACGCAAAAATAGGTTCCAAACCAAGGGCTTTCTCTGGATATGCTGGAGGAAGCTATGGAGCTTCAGGATCTCTAGCCCTCCTAAGCCCCAGAATATGGTTATGGAGTGGCATCCAGGGAAGGAAACATCATAATTCACTCTTTCCCAATCCAGTATCCTCCATATTTGTTTGAACAACAACTCCCAGATTTCCCAGCTAGCATGACTCTTTGGAAATCTAAGAGTTATATATATGAAAATGTTGCTCTTCTTTCCTTTCTATCTTACTGGGACTGAATTTGGGCAACCCTCTGAAATCAGTTTCCTATCCCCAACAGTAGGATTGCCCAACAGTAGGACTGCTTTGCCCAGCTATCTATAATTTATTGCATCCTCTTAGAGTCTGTATGTGAGTTTTGCTAATGTGATTTTTAAAAGGCAGAGGCAATCTATAGCTAATTTTATACTCCATGATGGAATAATGAAAAGCAGAACATCCTTTTAGTGCCATTTGTGAACATATCCATTTAATCTTTTCTCCCTTTCCCCTAAATATGATAAAAATATGCTCTAGAAATCTTATTCTGCCAAGTAACCCCCTCATCTTGTCCCCAACCCATAAGTGGGACAACCTAAGTCCTTAGGTGTACCAGTGTTAAAGTAGTGTTTTCCCTCTTACTCCAACCAAACAATTGTAGCTTTGAGATGTGTAAATTTTGTCATCTATCACCTTCATGGAAAGTCAGATAACTATGATGGCTTTAAACATAGATAATAAAGGCAGAAAAGAGATCAGCATTGGGGAGAACAAATTTCAGGCTAGTGGGTTTTCCTTTTTATTTTGTCTTGTTTTGTTTTCCAGAATCAAGGGTGAGTGGACAGTACTTCTAGCTGAGCAGAGTCAGTGTCTGCCTTGTTTCTCCATTTGTGAAAGTAAAGTTTAGGAAATCATGTAAGAATGATCAAAGCAAATGCCGAAGCCCATGAATATTGAGTCAAATGTGGCCAATCCAATATAGAAGAGAATTATTATTTCTAGCTGTATAATTTTGTGGAGGTAGTGGTGGAAGAAGTGAACCAGGAACTCCAGAATGCTACTTCTTCATTGCTGGCCAGCCACCACTACTTTTCCCACCTTTTCTACTAAAGTAGCACAGGCAGTGGCTTAAAAAATATACTCTTTGCTCTACTCTTAGTAAGATAGAATGGCATAAGGAGCTTGCAATAGAGCAGAGGCAATTTTTTGTTCCCTACTTTGCTTTATAATCCTTTATTTCTAAATTATATTCCAACAGAACATTCAGGAGGATGCTATGAAAGAAAAAAAATAATAAGCAAAGCAGATTACTACCAATGCTTCTCCTTTATTGCTACTTACTATTGCTCAGTAACACTTCTTTCATTATTTAATATTTAAGTGGGAGGAGACAAAATCTATAAGTCACCTTACGAAAGACCTCCTCAAAATTGGAGCCGGACCTAGGAATCATAAACAAAACATTCTGCAATGTTATTATTTTGTTCTAGGCCTTGCTTATGCCATTAGGTGTAACTTTTAGATAGCTATCACTCTCAAAATTCAATACTTACAGAGCATACAACTACAAAGATAAAAAGGCATGAAACCTTTAGGAGCTTTAAACAGCATCTGTAAAATAAGAGAAAAGATTCACAGAGAAAGAACACAGGGGAAAAATATTGCTTCACCCACTCATAACACAAAGTTTTGAAGTCATCACGTAGGCTTCTTGAGAATCTGAGACAAAAGATTACACAAGATATAAGAAAGTCCTACACACTGACTCAGTCAATCAAGCCCGAACTGTCTAACATGATTGGTTGCAATCTTCAAAGCCCCCAAAATAATCTTTTCTCAGCTCTCTCTGATTTCCTGGAGACAAAATTGAGTTACGATGCAAAGCATCTGGGTGTCAATAAAAACACTTCTTGCTCCTATTCTGCAATATCTTGCATGAAGTTCCCAAGGTGATAGTTATCAATGGCATGTGTTGCCCACCCCAGACATCTATCTTAGCACCTCAAGCTCCTTGATTGCTGTGACATCTGAAAATCATTTCCTTTTTTAAAAAAAAAAAAATTGTATTAAAGATTTTAATTGCAATAGTAAAAACTAATACAAACTAAAAGAAAGAAGAGTAGAAAGAAAGAGTATATCTCAAAATCATTTCCTAATAAACTGGGAAGCTGCATGCTGGAAAATGGCACACTAGCCTTTAGCACCATCTTTATTTCCAAAAATAGCTCTAAACTTTATAGAAGCCAGAGACATTTTAAGAAAATTAAAATGACAGGAGACTGTAATTCAGCTACCAGAAAAATAATCTCACTGGGAAGCCTGTTACACTAGAAGATTCCAGTGGACCAGAAAGCAAAAGTGGATGTTGGTTTTGGTTTTGCTGTGTTGATTTTGTTGGTTTAAACTGATGCTCTGTTTTAGTACACTGTGGATTTTGCCTGCAGAAAGCAGGGAGAATATATGCAGTTCGCTTTCCTGAATATATGGCTGTGTGCATTGGGGGTGTTTTGCCTGGATTTTATGGGCGCATTAGTTTTTCTAGGGTAGGACATGACTCTGAGTTTGTCTGCCTCTTTGCTATTTTTTCCCTGGGATTTGGAGAGTTGACTAATGCAATATACATTTTGCCTGGATTTATGTGCAATGGTGTGAGTTTTGCTCCAGTTTCTGGTGGGGAGGAGAGAGATGGATGTGTAATGTGAATTAGTGTTTTGCCTATGTGTGTGGGTTTCTCTGAACATCTGCAGTTTTGTGTGAAACAAGTACCTTGTTTTGCTTTTGTAGTGGCAAACAAGTAATTCGTCATTTGAAGCTCAGAACACATTTAATATATCCTGAGCATATTTCTGACCAAGTTATTTATTGGTCTCTGCATTTCATCAGTTTTCCTTCTGTGACATGGATGCTGGGAGCTCAGAACTGTTAGCTGAAAAAGTGTCTTTGTGTTCTTTTAACTCAACTCCACTCCTAGCATAGGATTAGATTTTTTAGCAAATCACTTTTCTTTCAGCATCACCCTTTTCTATTGCATGATTGACCATACCAACAGTGATAACTGTTTGTGAATGGGTAAGCTCTCCCCATCTCACTATGGGGAAGAAAGCCCCGAAAACTCCAAGCATGCCATTTAAAGACACTTGATCTAGCTGCTAGATTAGCAACCCACATTTTATTTATTTAATTAATTGTATTTCAAATTTGTCACCGCCCATCTCACTGCAGAGTGACTCTGGGCAGTTTACAGTAAAAGAATAAATGTTAATTAAAATAGAATAAATAGTAATTAAAAACACATCACAAAAGGTTCCTATATGAATAATAAATAGCATCCAAGAAGCTAATGTTAACTAAGAATAGACTCAGGGAGTGTCTTCAAGGGGAGCGTCTTCAAGGCGCCACCCACCCCCAGGGTTGATTATATTCCCTCTCGCCCCATGCAAGTTTTCCTGCCCGTATTCATTAGGTAGTGACAGCAGGAGAATATAGAATGCTGTACAATATATCTATATCTTGTCCCTTAACTAGCAATGAGAAAGATTGAAACAGAATGAAATTTGGACATTCTACATGCAGCACATATACTATACCTGACATGTTTTGTTTCAGCAGTTGGCAACACCTATGTGACTTTGTCTGGCTTGGAAGCTAAGCAGGGTTGGGCTGGTTAGTCATTGGGTAAGAGACCACCAGGGAATACAGGGCTATGAACTAGATGGGAGAAGTCAAAAAAACATCCTGGAAGAAGGTCATAGGAAACCACTTCCATACTTTTTATCAAGAAAAGGATGTGTGGCTATAATTGTACAGTTTTTACACATTTAAGGCATTCATTTTACAAATGTAATTATGTGCATTACAAGTCAAGTCTCTGTATTTCCATCATCAACCGGCAAAGTGCATAGACTAAAGACAAGCTTTAACATTTTGAATTAAGATTTAAAATATGGTGTCTAGAAACAGACAGCCCATAATAGCAATAACAATCAGAAAACCTTAAATGAGTAATTTAGAAGTTCAGAAGAGCATACCCTTAAAATAATAAACTCAACTTAGCAATCAGGAGATGGGAATTTGTTTTTATTAATCAACTATAGCACTTAAGAGTATTCTTCTCACCAACTACCAACCCTTTTGGTACCTAGACTTATGAAATCAATGCTTTGATGAGTTGAATTAGCCATAAGGAAGACTGGTCTTGTACACAATTAGCATCTAAAGTCTACACTACAGTTCATTCTGTTGAAATTTTACTTGGGCATGTTTGGGACTTGCTTTGTTTGGACTTATTTTTGGCCTAGTGTGTTGATCAATGCCAAAAAATGAGGGTTTTCATTCAGACCTGCAGCACATATAGCACAGTTATTTCACTGGAACTGTGCAGATTTAGGCCACCTCAGCGTCTGGAAACTCCAGTATGTTTATTCAACAAGGCTGCACAAAAGTATTTCAGGGAACAATTCGTCAAGAGTACGTGTCTGCTGCAGCACCAGGGATACAATGCAGGACCGGCTGCCAACTGTTCTGCATAACCAGGGCAATTATATTGGGCTGTGCTTACACAGCAATGATACAGAACAAAGAAAAGCTGGGCAGCTTTTAATGTATTCCTATATTCATAATTAAAATAGAACAGGGAAGGTCAGGATGGGTGCAGAAGAAAAATAAAAGACATGATTTCATACTGATTCTAGGAATTTATACCTATCTCCTTGCTGCCAGCTGAGCTGTTGTATGCGACAGTAATTAACAAAACAGAATATTCGCTGCTGTGTTTTCTGGCTCCAACTAGTCAGTACATCAGTACCAAGGATAATACATTCTTCTTTTATTCTTTTACTGTCTCAGAGTATAAATATGGATTGGTTGCTTCAAAGAGTCTACTCTACGAAATGTGAATTTCTGAACAGGTTGCCACATCTCACTAAGGCTTCGTTCATAAAACACTGCCAAATTTACACAAATGTAGGCGTGCTCCTGTGCCTATAAACACTTTAATATATTATGAGTTAGGATGACAGCAAAGCTCACAGGATATTTAGTGATTTGCACATCCCTAATCTAGATGCATGGCTTCATTAGGCAATGAACCAAAATAACTAATGATCTGAAAAAAATACATATCGTCATTTGTTATATTTTTTACTGAAGTAAAACCTTCTATTAAACTGTATGGTATTTTGTTATATCTATGATACTTTGTGTTGGTAAATGGTTTGTTTGTGTACATGTGGGCATCTGCATGGGTGGGTGTAGTTGAGTGGGTGATTGATTTTAAGAAAACAAATGATCACTGACTGAATGATTAAAACATACAGTAAAAGTGGTGGGATAGCACAATACTTGAAAAGAAAGATAATGAAGACTTGGTCCAAATATCTTTGGGAAATAAAATTCTATATCTCCCTTTATGAATTGTGGAACTGTCCTGAAAAAAAAAAATCCAGAAGCAGATTGTAAAATAGGAGTAAAAACTGACTGATGATCATAAGACACCCTTTCTCACATGAATATATGTAACAAATCATACAATAAAACTGCATCTGTTTGACTTCTACATCCACTAAATTATCTAGAATACAAACATTTGTAGTGATGGCTCCCACTAGATTATAGAAATGAAATAGAGTGTATGCTTACTTTATTTCAATCTAGACCCCAATACTTTTCAAGGGCAAACACATTTCATATGTGTTGGGACCTAGTTTGAAATAAAGTATAAGTCTATTTCTTTCCCTTCCATCTGATCAATTTAGGGTATATCTTTCTGTGTTCCCTTCTGCTATAGATTATAGATCTTTCCCATCTTAGATTACCAATAACTGAAAGAGATTAAGAGGTTGTTAGGGAAAGAAGGCCTAGCAAATGCAGAAGGAGACTTGAGTAGTTCCAGGAAAAAGCCAGTAAGAACGATCTCTGAATAGTTTCCAACATAATAGGAAATGTGTTTTTGAGGAAATAAACCCTTAACTACATGACTGAAACCTGTACATGTTACAAGAACATCACAGGATGACTACGTAGATGACTTGATGTGGTGCAGAAATCACTAAATCTATCTTTTCCCAGCAGTCACCCTTACATAGTGCAGAAAATTATGATGTTTGTGATTTTACCAATTCCGTAGCTTAAAAAAAGGACTCCTTAAATCAAACCATGCCTTCAAATACAGATAAGGGCCTAAGCAGAGTTGTAAGAAAAAACACCATTTATTTCTGAATATATACCTAGGGTTCTTTATTTGTTTGTTTACGTTATAGCACATCTTTCTGCTATAAAACTAATGCAACACAAGTCAAAGCATAATTGAAAACACTTAAGCAGAAACAAGAACAATAATCTTCCAGCAACCAAAGCTTTGAAGGCGGAGTTAAAATAAAAAGGTCATCCCTTCACAAAAAGTACCACTGAGGCTGTTTCTTCAGTATCATATTGTTATCTGGCTATGAATCTGACTAGATGTTATTCTCTATTGCACTGGGATGTTCTGCTTGAAATCGGTGGCAAGTTCTAACAAAGGAGTGTTACTTTACTTATTTGCTGAAAAGAGAAAGAAGTGTCCTAAATTCTCAGTACAATACCTCATTTTGGATAAATTGAATTTGACATGAAAATTGTCCAATATTTCGCCTTTTTCTGAGCAGGAAGCAGATCTGGATAAGCTGGTCATTTCACTTCCTGGCTGAGACCTTTGCTCAAATTCGGCAGAGCTGTTTTCCCAAGAGTTGTCATCTGTGATGAAATCTGTATTATAAACATCTGTGCACTTTAACCTATAAAACATCATGGATAGCTATCAATATAGATTACAGTCTGATCTTCTCAAATTTGTCCCATTGGGAGCTAAGACTACTGAAGAATGGCAGAAATCAAGGATGCTAATTTTTTTAGAATGTATCTGTTAGTGAATGTGACATTTTCTTAAGCTTCTGAGGAAGACAACTAATGTACTACTTATATCTTTGGAATAAGTAACAATGCTGATGTTTCCGTTACAGGAGAAACCTCAGCATTAGAGCACTTTCAGTCAAAATATTCTATGCTTCTAGGGTTTCAGGAAGAGGTTCTTTCACCACCTCATCTCTAAGCTTGAGCAATCTATTATTTTATTCATTCATTCATTCATTCATTCATTCATTCATTCATTCATTCAACTTGGATGGCCACCCAACTCACAGTGATTCTGGGCAGTGTACCAACAAATTAAAAACCATCATAAAAAGAAAATGTTATATATCAAAATAGCAGAATAAACTGGCAGCCAATATGCTATCATGTTTTCTAGAGATGGCTTCACTCAAACCTCTAGTCCACAGGCAGATCCGTTTAGAGCATATTGACTGTTATCAGTCAACCAGGACCCTGTCCCATGAAATCATCCATGGCATCCTTGGGGACATGGCCAAATAAAGTATTTCCAGGGCAGGAATCCTCCTGAACAATCTCAGGATTTCACAGCTTTGGAATTTAGGAAGGGCTGCTTTCCAAGGATATCTCTAAGTCTACCTGAAGGTTTTAAGCAGAAAGAAGGAAGAACACAAATATATCTCCAAAGATGATTATATACTTCTATTTCTGATCAGTGTCCTTGTGGATCCATGACCACAACATAACTCCCCATTGTTTGATAAGTTGCAAGCATCTACTATAGTTGTCCCATTATAGAAGAAAGAGCTCAGAGAATGTCAACATTGCTTTGTTGATATTTATTATTTATTTGTGTATTTAATTTATAACCCACCTTTCCTTCGCAAACTTCAAGTAGTCTATCTAGCATTTCCTTCTCCAATATTTATGTTCTTTAGGATAGAATAAAGTGTAGGGATGAGCCCCCTTGAAATCAGTTAGGGTTAATATGTTGTAGGGTTCAATATTAAGTAAGATATAGATTTTTTAAAAAGAACTCTTACCCATTTCCTTTAGTGGAAGCTTTCAACAGAGGTGTCCCTTCTGTAAAGCAGCTGTCTTCTGATCTTGTGTTGAAGAATTTGGGCAAAGTGTAGTGATACCTTTTTTAAAAAATTGTTAATTGTTAGGGCAATCACCTCCCCAAAGCAGTACAAGTGGTACATATGTAAGTGACAGTGGACAAACTAATTTAATATTAGATTAAGCAAATAAATTAATTTAAGGATTTATATTAGAACTGACAAGCAATATTATCTCAGTTTTTCATTTTCACTTCCTCTTGTAGTAATGGCACTGCTTTTCTTATGGATCATTTTTTTCCCAACAATCATCTGCCCATTTATCAAAATAATTTTTCCCAACTTCTGATCAAAGTAATCAAGGAAGCCACTATTCCACTTTACTTTCAATTTTCCCCAGCTATTTCCAAAATATATATTTACCTTCACTGTCCAGTAGCTGAAAAGTATTATTGATGTAAATGTTCCAATTGTTCTTCCTTTCTTCGTGCACCAACAACTCAGAATTCTATATCTCATATAAATATGACTCCAGCAGTAGCCCTGTATACAATCTTGAATAACTTTCTCTATAGCAGAGAACAGCTACTATTCTATCTGTGACAATCAGTATGGAATCAGTGTTGGTCTTGGGAAGATGTTTTCTTATAAATAAAAACATTCTCATACGTATTTGTTCAGGTTGATTGCTGGGTTCTCATAAAAAAAGACACACTGGGAAATTAAGGGTTTGTATAGAAGTTGCCATACTGAAACGTTGTAATATCAAGCAAAAGTGATTTTGGTTGGAATGTCTATTAATAATCTCTGGAAAGTTCAAGGCTACAGATGGTTTAGGAACAAGAGAGTAATGGTGTACAATCTCTTCCATAACATAATGAAAAACTATCTAAATCACCACAACTGTTTTTGTTTCTGTTTCTCAAACTTTATTTTTCTAAAATATAATCAAAAGGTAGTATTGTTTTCATATATTCTTCTGAAATTTTATATGGACCTTGATCTTGTGAGATATTTTTATATATATTTCCACTTGGCACATCTCTCACTTTGTCTACTAAATACCTTCCTTTTTAAATTCATTTATATTGTTAATGCTTCCAGCCATTTTAAATGTAATATATGTGGTCCTCATAGCTATAAACAACTACCTTTAGGTTTAGCTGCTGGGAGAGTTCTGGCATCTGTATTTCTAAAGCCTAAAATGGTGAAAGTTGCTCAAATGTACTGATAAAAGCAATACAATATGGTTTACTAAGTCTGTCTTGCCTTTCCAGCTGTAATAACGCAAGAAAACATTATTAGCTGCTACTGAAAAAAAAGTTTATTTTGTTAACCATCTTATTTATTGTTACTAGGGATGCTGAGGAAAAACGTTTCCTATAAATATGTACAGTGTGAAAAATGTACAGCATGAAAAAGAAGTTCTACTGTACTACCAATCATTTTTAGAATGGAAGCAATTATTAATCTTATGGTATTAAAACAGTACCAGATACTTTAGAAAATGAGAGTAATATGTTTTAACTTATAGCACCATCAATTAAAGATGAACCTCATTAGATTAAACAATTTTCTTCTGGCTTCGGCCCTAAGGTGGGACTAGAGCGCATGGCCTCCAGGCTGATGCCTTAACCACTACACCAAACTGGGTCTCAAACAGCTCTGTACCAAAGTCCAAATAAAGCTATTTGTTCCGTTGCCAAAATTTTTTTGTAAAAGATGGTAATTCATATTGCTGTTATTTGGTAGTTTGCCACCAAATTTCAGTAGTATGGTTTAGGGCAATCATGAACTGCAAAAATGAGATTCAAGTATGCAGTTAGATCTGGAAGAATGAATAGCTAGGTGTTTTAAAAAAAAAAGCAGGGAAGATTTATTTTCAAGTGAAATTGTATGATCCACCAAGGCAGAATCAGTTGTGGCACTTATGAATGTGCAGTTTGTAGAATCTGATATTATCAGCCTCAAAATGTTTGCCAATTAAAATGTTGCACACCAAAATACATATGCTTTGGAATGAAATGTAACAGTGTAGGTTTTGGAAAGTGTAGGTTTTTCAAAACTGTACAGAAATAAACATATTCTATATACTGTACATATATGGAAAAGCATATACCCAAAAGCATATGCTAGAGATGCTTTTGGGTGTATGATTTTCCATATATGTATATAAAATATGTTTATTTCTGTGCAGGTTTGAAGGCATATATTAGGGGAAATGGGATACAAATGGATGTATACACATATATGAGTGTGTGTGTGTATGTGTGTGTCCAAAAATTAATAGAATGGCTTAATTTTTTATCTCTGGTATAAACTGGATCTAGGCAAAGCCACACACCCTTAAGTATAGTCCATCTGAATATAACTATAATTTGTCAAGAATTTCTACTTTTATTGCTTTATATATTCAGAGCACATCTGCAACACAGATGACACTAGGCATTATGACCATGGGTTTTGCATAAAGAAATTGTAGTGTTAACCTTCTATTTCCTGTCCTCTCATACTTCATAGAATACTGGTCCTCTTTTTCTTAAACTTGCTATTGAACAACAAGATTTTGGAATCAAACTGATTGGACTGATCCAGTCACAAAAATCACACACAGCATATGGTCATTTGGAACTTCACTAAGGACTGGGTAAACTTCAGAATGTACTTTGCTTTTTACTGAAATCCTGATGTCCACAAGTCTGTGTCATGTGCAAAATAGTGGGCCAAGAGATGCAGGGGCATCACGGATAATTTGAATTAACGAAAAGGGTATCTTTAAGCACAAGTACATGTATTTTGAGTAGCAGACCTGAGGTCACAACACTAGTTCTTAGTTTCCAACACCACCCTAATTTAGAAGGGCAGGCATTTTTATTACTGCTTTCTTAAAACCCACCTGGCACACTCAGATATGCTGATTGGAGATTCTGAAATTTGAAATCAAAACACTTCTGGGAAAAGATTGAGACAAGCATTTGGCTACGCAAACCCTTTAAATACAAGCTATCCAGACTTACAGAACCTTCTCTCCTTGCTCTTGAGAGAAATAATCAGGTGAAAATGATCAGAGTGGAAAAACAGTAACATTCTCATATAATGAACTACAACTCCCATAAAATTAAAAGATCATCCGGAAGCTACCTTGTTTTGCAATTGAAAAATTACCCTAGTTTACCAATATTTTTCTTGCCTGAAACAGTTAAAGTAGAATACCCAAAAGTACCATAAATTGCCTGGTGCAGAAAAAAAAATGATGCCCATTTTGTCATTTCTTGTACTCTGGCAATATCAGGAGCTTAGTAACATAAGAACATTAATATTATCATGCTCTTTATTTACCAGTAAATTTCTATTCTCTTCCTTCTATTCCATAATACACAACAATCCAGTCTCACATGGAAGGAAAAAAAAGAAATAACATCATAAACTGCAGTCGTATGGCCTCTTCTAGGAAGCTTCCTGGAATTAGTGGAATACTGTATATATGATTTCTTCTCTGAGATCAAAGAGGGAATTCCAACCTGGGAAGGTAAAACGTCCCTCCTGCCCGAGACTGATTGGAGAGTTTGCAAGCAGGAAACAGAAACCACCCAGTAGTCTATCAAGACTGAGGAATCAAAGCCAAGAAGTCATGAATTAGGCAAATGGCACAAGATGCCACAAAATGTAAATCAGAAAACAAGTCAAACAGCAGCTGAAATGTCAAAAACCAATGAAACTGACATAATAGGAAGATGATTTATGAATTGTTTTCTTCACGCAGGCCTTGGCAAGGGAGACTGAGATCCTCACTTCATCACACTTGTCATCTTTTATCTTTATCTTTTATGTTTTATTGATTTTATTGTAATTTCTTTGTCTGACTGTTGTGAGCCACCCAGAGTTATTGAGAGTTGGATGGCATACAAGTTTAATAAATTATTATTATTATTATGGTTGGTCACATAGTCAGCCAGATGCTTAGACTGGATCTGGCATTTTTATCCACCTATCAAGTCCTTCCCAAGGACCTGGGATAGGCAGATGTTGTTTGATGGTGTTAGAGGTATTGTCGCAGGATATAAGCTGTTCCAAGTAAAGGAATTGCAATTGACTGATGGTGATTTGGTCAATGATGATCATGTTCAAGTGGTGCTCCAGATGTTTCGGGATTGCACCTAAGGCACCTATAACTATTGGTACTGTCTTTGCTTTCTTTTGCCATAATTGTTATACTTCTATTTGTAGGTCTTTATATTTTGTGATTTTCTTCAGTTCTTTCTCTTCTATTCTGCTGTCTCCAGGTATTGCAATCTCCGCTATTCAGACATTTTTGTCTTTCTTATCAACAGTTAAGTCTGGGGTGTTGTGTGGCAAGGGCTTGTCTGCTTGAATTCTAAGGTCCCAGAGCACTTTAGCTTCTTCATTTTCTATTACTTTGTCTGTTTTGTGGTCCCACCAGTTCTTGCTTGCGGGCAAATGGTATTTCTTACAGATATTCCAAGGCACCATTGTTGCTACTTTGTCAGGCCATTGCTTGTAATCAGTCTGTGAGATCTTCTTGCAGCAGCTAACTAGGTGGTCCACTGTTTCTTCAGCTTCTTTGCAGATGCAGCATTTGCTGTCTGTTGCTGTCTTCTCAATTCTGGCTTTGTATGCATTTGTTCTTAAGGCTTGGTCTTGCACAGCCAGAATTAGCCCCCTCTGTCTCTTTCTTAAACTTTCCTGCTCTTAGCCATTGCCAGGCCTTGTTGTTATCTGCTTTGCCTGATAGTTTTTTTGTGTACTGGCCATGTAATACTTTGCCTTGCCATGTCTCTTTTCTATTCTTCATTTGATCTTTCTTATAGGCCAGTTTGGTCTCTTTGGTATTCAGTAAGCCTTGATAGTGTACTAGCTTCAGTACATCTTCTTCACTGTCCTTCAGATAGTCTTCCAATGCCCTTTTTTCTTCTTCAACTGTTTGGTATACTTGCAACTTTCCACACCCACCTATGCTCCTTGGTAATAGAGTCTATCAACATCTCTACGTGGATGAAGGGCATGATTCATTGTCATTATTTTTCTGGTTTTCCTATCCAGGGCTTTTAATTCAGCTTGAG